TATTTTATTCACACTTATAAAATAAAAAAATATGTTATTTTTTGTACGTTATTCCAAAGTTAAGTCATGCACTGTGTGCATTACTAATAAAAATCTTACGTTACGGACGTTTTTTCCCGGTTAGGGTACCCCTCCGCATCGTGCCATAAGGAACTTCGTTACAAAAAAAATTGTTTTTAAAAACATTTCAATTTAAACATGTTAGTGAGATTATAAAATAATAATATGCCCGAATACAAGAAAAGAAAAAAAAAACTAAAACATAGCAGTTGCACCCAGATTAATTTAAAATCATGCAATGATTTCATGAAAACTTATTAGATGAGCCTTCTTTTCAAATTTGGTCCTTAAAAATATGATAATTTAAATCCACAATGCTTTGTGTTTACATGGTGACGATTAAATACAGGTATATTATAAGTAATATATACTCATCACGTAAATAAGAAGTGTCCAAATGTTAAAATGCGTGAATTTGAAAAACATTTACTATAATAATATAATGCCACTAAAGGTTGGAACAAACTTACTATTATTCGTAAAATGTTTTTCAAATATATTTACAGTATTTTCATATATTATCTAAAGTGAATGAACAATCATTTCATTAAAATCTCATTGATACAACAGAACGCATTTTCTCGAAAACAAATCGTGTAATGTTTGAACAAAAATGCACTTTTCTATATTACCCTGACTAAAACACGTACTCAGTACTACTTGTTGATTTTTCATTTTGTTTTCTTCTTTTTTTCGGTTCAATAACCCTGGCACTGGACGGTATATGTGAAGGAAGTACAAGTAATAAATAAATAAATGATAATTATAAGCACGTGTCTTGAGTAGACCCACAAGAGAACGCCTGAACCAAACGACTAACCCAATCCCCTAGAGATTTATGAATAATATAACACTAAAGTAGCCTAGAAAGATAAAAGTAAATCTAGCGCTTCAAGCTAATATAAACAAAAAGCTAAAATTAAAAAACTAAATAGCTTCAGAAACACTGCTAAGAAAAGCTTATGAAGTAGTACTTACCGGAATAATTAAGCTTATGAATTTAGCTTCTATTAACCGTATCCAAGCTTCTGTGTTAGGTAGCCCTGCAAATACCTTCAATATTAACCAGCCTTACATTTATTTCACTGCTAATTTTAATGTACTTTTGTTTAATCCATCACTATTCATTCAGATCATTGACTTCAATATTATCATACCAACGCTTGAAGCTTCAATGTGGGCTTAGCTTTTAATGTTGTGAATTGGATTCCACATAAATGCCATACAAATTAGTGAAATTAATAAGAAGTTTTGAATAATAAAAAGCTTTGCTGATATTGTTTAGATTCCTGCTAGATATTAAATATTAAAAAAATTTGAATGACTAGAAATGTTATAAGCACATGATTAATGTTTTTGAATAAAATTCTATAGCCATGACTACTTGATAATATTCCAATTTATGCACATCCATTGAAATCTGTAATAAAAAATATAATAGCGTTTTCTTAATTTAACATGCCATTAACAATCACTAAAAAGTTCACAATATACCTTTCTAGTCGTTCATTTGAAACAATTCAGTCATCCTCATCCAAACTAACAATAGCCTGAAAATGTATGTAGTGATCTTATTGTAATATCCCTTTTTGAATGCTTAATCATTCTTGGTATCGGTGATGGTATCTTTTGGCACTTTGCGTTCCAATCCCTGTGATCGTTGGTCCCGTGTTCATAACCTTAAATGTATATGTACTGACCTATAACATTGTCATTAATTCCACTTGAATCATTGAATGATTCCAATCATTTTCGATTGCTACGTGTCTGTGGATATATGTCAATTGTCTGATTATCTTATCGACTGTCTTGTGTTTTTTGAATTTGAATTTTACCGTAAACTTTTTAAATTTTTATTCTATTTGCTGGTTTTTTTTCTTCTTTCAAAATTTAACTGTTTTTAACCAATGGCTATCAAAACGTTAAATTTTGTATAAAACATTCGTAATTCGCAACGAATCGAATTGAACATGAGCGAACAAAATTGGCTTTCGCTCTGGGACCAACCAAACATTTGATGGTCATTTCTCTTTATGGTGCTTCAAACGATCTGTACAGCAGATCAAATGCCGGACCGGATCCGAGTCCAAGGTTGAGTAAGCAGCTATGTTTCAGATCCCAAGGCTCTTTAGCCAACAAACTGACGGGAGAAACGGACGGCGAAGTTGACACGCAGCTCACCAAAATGGACGTTGTGCTAACATTCCAAATCGAGGTAATAAAAATAAGCTATTGGAATTAGGATCTGCTGAGCCGACACGGGTTTGTATCGCCACTCCACCTGTTGGTATTGAGAAAGCGGTTATGATTTTTTCGGTTTGAAATCTAACAAACATTCGTTATTCAAATATAGGACTGCGAACTATTTCATTAGTCTTTTTTTTAGCAAAAGCAAAGATATTAGGTTTATTATAACATAAATATGCTTTTCTGGCCGACTTTTGATTCGACCTTGATCTGATTACTACCAAACTTCACAGGAAAACCCGCTGGACCAATATGAGGATTTCTTTAAAAAGATCTTCGAAATTGGGTCACCCATTTTTCTAGGAAACAACGACTTTTGTTTACGATTACAGATCTAATGATTTTCATGTCATCTGCGCATAATACAAGCGACAATTAACTGACACCACATTTTCAGTCATAAGCTGGTTTTTTTGCAACTATACTTAAAACTTACGATAATTTTAAAAGTGGATTGTATGAAAATTTTAAAATTACAGGTAGTCGTCATGGAGGTTAAGGGTCTGAAGTCATTGGCACCAAATAGGATAGTTTACTGCACTATGGAAGTGGAGGGTGGTGATAAACTGCAAACTGACCAAGCTGAGGCGTCGAAGCCTATGTGAGTTAAAGAATATCATTAAAATTATACTTCAGTACAGTAGATTGGGGGGAATAGAGACTAGAGTTAGAATAGGGACAAATCTGGGATGTCACAATACTTTTGTTGAGTTTTTAGATTTAACTTTGTTGAACTGAAAATGACTTTTATTTTGTGTTTAAGAATATTAAATAGTTTAATTTAATCATCAAAGCTGTGTAACTCATTAAAGATATTAAAAAGCTAATTACCTAAAGTTAGGTACCTACCTAACAACTAAATAGTGCCAGCCCTATCGAAAAACTCTATTGTCCCCATACGTAACCTGATTCACCCCAAAGCCAAGGTGAATCGGGTCAAGCTAGTTTTTTTGAATTTTTGTGTATATTTTGTAATGAACTATGTATAATAACGCATCGCATATAAAAATTTAAGCCTCCGGAACCATTTTAATCTCAATTTTTTGGTATTACCCTAAGAAAAACCATTGAAAATTTGTGTTGGATTTGGAAAGGGTCCCGATTCCCCCCAATCTACGGTATCGTGTTTAAGGCTAAGACATAAGTAGATAAGACATTTTAAGTTCCTTTTTTTCATTTATTGGGTTACATGGTACGAAACGGTATTAAAGTAATTTATGACAGAATTTTTCCCTTTTAAAAGATCAAAAAAAGTCCGCGACAGCATGTCTATTATGTTAAGGTTGGCTCTCTATAACGTTTTTTATGCTAACCAAATTTGTTCTAAAATAAAGCATTATTTGTGGTGTTTTTTTTTTTTTTTTTTTTTTATTGTCCTTGTAGGCAGACGAGCATACGGCCCACCTGATGGTGAGTGGTTACCGTTGCCCATGGACTTCAGCAATGCCAGGGGCAGAGCCAAGCCGCTGCCTACCGCGGCTACGTAAATGAAGAGGCCGTTAAAATTTAGCGTTATGCCAAACCAACTATTCCACGCGGACGAAGTCGCGGGTAAAAGCTATACCAAATAAAAGGCACCTTTAATTACAAAAATAAATGTCGTGTAATAACCGAAATGCTTAAACCACCCTTTCACCCCTTATAATGCTTCAATTTTATAAATGTATTATTAATTTTTTGAGGTGCCTTTTGGACTTAATATACTTTTTTATTTACAGGTGGGACACGCAAGGTGATTTCAGTACGACGCAGCCTCTTCCAGCCGTGAAAGTGAAACTTTACACAGAGAACCCCGGAGTTTTGGCTTTGGAAGACAAAGAACTGGGGAAAGTGGTCTTAAGACCTACACCGTTGTCTAGTAAGGTGGAGACCGCTGCCATTTGTTATTTACTTCTTGCACTAGCGGGAAACGCTTAGAATAATAATAAAACGGTACGCGTGCAACTTGGTGCACGTGAATGAAGTGAAACTTCTTTTTCAATGTGCAGTATTATGGTTTTATTCATTTTTCATCCTTAAATCAGGTTGCTCTTGTAATAGAGAATGCTGTGTATAAGGTCTTACTGGTGGTAGAACCTCTTGTGAGTCCACGCGGGTAGGTACCACCGCCTTACCTATTTCTGCTGTGAAGCAGTAATGCGTTTCGGTCTGAAGGGTATGGCAGCCGTTGTAACTATACTGAGATCTTAGAACTTATATCTCAAGGTGGGTAGCGCATTTACGTTGTAGATGTTTATGGGCTCCAGTAACCACTTAACACCAGGTGGGCTGTGAGCTCGTCCACCTACCTAAGCAATAAAAAAAAGGTGCAATGTCTTCAATATTTACATTATTTATACAGTATTAGAATATTAACAAAAAGCAGAAAATGACGCTAGATACTAGACGATACTAATTATAATGAGATACGTTATATTATATTATAATAACAAATGCTCTAAGCAAAACGAACAACAAGAAAAAGGGATGAATTCTCTTGAATACCGTCTTAAGCAATTGTTTACACGCGTTGGACTTATAATAGTTAACCAACAATATCAACATTAAGGAAACAGTTATTAACTAATCTTAGTTAACTAAATACCAGTGTTGTACCGATATAATAAAATTTGTGCTGATTAATTGCGCTTGTATCTATCTATTCCAGTATGAGGCAACACTATTGTTTAACAATAAACCTGTAAACATTTCAGGCGCCGGAGTGGCACAGGATGACGGTTCCGAAGAATCTACCTGACCAGGACTTGAGGATCAAGATCGCGTGTCGGATGGACAAGCCTTTGAATATGAAGCATTGCGGGTGAGTTTATTTGGTCATTGACTTAACAGCGGAGGAAAAATTAGAAGAACAAAAAAAGTAGAAAAAAATATATTTCTAAGACTAGCTGATCCGGCAGACTTCGTAATGCCTCAATCGATAAATAAAATACCTAACCTTTTGTATAAAATAAACTTAAAACAAACGAAAGAAATCCGTCCGACGGGGGACACATCAAAGGAAAAACAAAATTGTTATTTTTATTTAATTCCGGGCATTTTCATATTTATCTAACTTTTAAACCTTCTCTGGACTTCCAAAAATAATTCAAGACTAAAATTAACCAAATCGGTCCAACCGTTCTCGAGTTTTAGCGAGACTGACAAACAGCAATTCATTTTTATATATATAGATAGTCATTTAAAATATTTATTCTTCTTCCTCAGCTACTTGCACGTAATAGGGAAGAACGTGTGGCGGAAATGGAAACGCCGGTACATGGTGCTCGTGCAGGTCAGCCAGTACACCTTCGCGCTTTGCTCCTATAAAGACAAGAAGTCAGAGCCGGCCGAGATGATGCAGCTCGACGGCTTCACTGTCGACTACATAGAGCTCGCAAGCGGTACGGTCGCCTTCTTCTTCTTCTTTAATCTTCTTAATTATAGCTCTACGGTCCCCTTTGTTCTTTTATTTTTAAGTATGGCAAGCGACTTCTTCGACGCCATTGTTGCCAGAGTTAAATGTATAAAAAACTTTAATTATAAAATATATATATTTTGCCTTTATAGGCAGACGAGCATACGGTCCACCTAATGATGAGTGGTTACCGTCGCCCATGGACTTCAGCAATGCCAGGGGCAGAGCCAAGCCGCTGCCTACCACTCCATGCCGTTTGGATGAAATAGGATATAACAAAGTCTCAGAAAAGAGTCGTTATTTATTGAAACTTCGGTGGAGTTTTTGGAAGAATGGGAAAAATTACGTCCAGCGACTTTATTTCATTTTCTCACAAATATGTCCTAACAGAGGTGCTAAGCATTTAAAAAGCCCCCACTATTATATTATGTTTATATCTAAGGAAACAATAAGTTAACAAAATAAAACAATTTACATAATTTCGCTCCTCCCGTTTTCACCAAAAAGTCCTTATCGCATGTTATCTATGTCATCGTCTTCAGGGTCATTTCGACCTCGCGTCCCAAGATCGCTGATGGGATTCGCATTGTTTCTTCTACCGATTTTTTTCGAGTTCATTGACCCATTTAGTGCAATAAAATTTAATGCATAGTAGCAGGTCAATATGCACACAGACACCCGACGTTATAACTTTGCGAGATACAACTGAATCTATTCAAAAGCTCAGTCATAAAGCACGTGCTTTCGATTTCAGCCCAACTCATCGTTGGACAAGGTAAGAAAGAAAATTTCAACACTAGTAAGTAATTTTTGTTAATAATTTTAATAGTAGATAGTGTATTTAAGCATACGACTTAAGCGGACGAGACGCACTTATGTCATCTCGCGGTAATATTATGTTAGGACGGGAAATGTTGACCATTGAAATTCATGAGGTCTTTCGGATTCATGTAGTATATAATATCAAGGGGTGAAAGATTATGGCTTAAGCGGCATTTCGTTTATTACGCGACATTTATCCTTTTAGTTAAAGGTCGCTTTTTATCTGGTATTAACATCAACAGTTCGATGTTTTTAATAGGACTTCAATTAAGGTCAATTCAAATAGTTTTTTTTGTCATGAAATTTTTTTTTACAAATTATAAGTGGCTGTTCTGTAAAGTTTCAAAAATTTTGCTTAAACGTAATAACCTTTAACCCTTCGATATAAAATTTTATTGAAATGTCAGGAAAATATTGCGACCGCAAATGATTATAATTGAATTAGTTTTATCGATTTCCATTAAAAGCGCATTAGAAAATTTCGTATGAAGATTCGATTTCCTCTGGGAACACACTGTCAAGTAAAATGTCTGTCCGTTTCTTGAAATAACCATCAGAGGCTGATAGGCTCACGGCTCGCCTGATATTAGGCAGTTGCCAAAGCTTATAGACACTAAAATATTCATGAGGCACAAAATTGGAATCTAAGCTTCTACGATTGTGTATCCGGATCGGTAACGTGTGCTTCAAACGAGATTTTGAGTAAAAAACTCAGTAGCAGATAAGGTCTTCGCTATATCCCTGGTATTACTAATGTCTCTGAGCATTTTCGATCGCTCATATAGATGCGCCTTAAGGAACTCAAAAAGCAAATACTAGCATAATTTTCTAAAATTTCGACGTAGAATTATCACAAACTGTCACCTGACTCCAAACTCGAATTCTCTATGGAAACAAGAGATTGAAATACGTTCGTTTGTCGATATTAAGCACCCAGACGGAGAGCAAACAAATTTGTTCATCACGCGAATGTTTGCCCGGTGTGATAACTACAGCACCAGAGAATCGAGTCGACTTCGCCCAAAACACGTCATTACGGATCCTCCCGATCCATTAACGGTGCTTTTAGGTACCACAAGCACCGGTCACCGTCTTCGTCGAACCCGTCGCTTGCGACGAAGGGCTCGACGAGCGAATTAACCCACAGACACAGCTCACGGAGTTTCTCGTAGGATCTTCTCAGTGGGTCCCGTTCCCGATCCGGTGGTAGATTCTGCGAAGCACTGCTTTTGCTTGGGCCAGTGTTAGCAGCACTTCGGTTTGAGCTCCGTGAGCTCAACTACATGTTAGGGCTAAGTTAAAATAGCCTCTCAAGGCTATCAGCATAGGTAAGAAAAAAAAGAGATTCTTTGAAGAGAAGAGAAGCATTCTTTTCTCTGTTAAGTTCCTGGGCTCGTAAAATATATCTGAGTATCTATTAACGGTTTCTCTTAATTATCTATGACAAAAAAAAAACGAATTAAGGTGTTTCCGTACATAGCCGACGTTTAGAAAACTTTAGAACAAATCTAAATATGTACCACGTGATTATACTCTATTCCAATTACGATGTCCCTTTTGACGCTTCTTAGAACCTAACTCTTCACGTTACGCATAATTTAAAATAATAATCATTTTTTGTTCATGATCGTAAAACATCATTTAAAAAAAACACGTGTGGCACTCGGAGACTGCCGCGGTAAAGCTATTGCATAGCATTTTTTATAAACTTATGCAATTATAAATCGACAATAATAATTTAATATTAAAACAACAATAAAATAAGATCCGGCGAGAAACTCAGTGGGCTAACTTTCAATGAATCTGCTACATTGTGAGTGTTCCATTTTGACCGCGCACTCACTAGAGGGCGCTACATGGGATAGAGACACGCCTTTGGATGCTAGTTCTAACTCTCATTCACCCAGAATCAACGGTTTAGCTAGTTTATTTTTAATGCTACTCCAATCACTGAATGAGTAGTAGGAGTAGTTCTTCGACTAAGTGATAGAAAATGGCACGCCCAACGCATTGTAATGTGATATAATTTTTTATTTTACAATTCCGTTTGTCGCCGATAGATGGCGCTTGACGAAAAGCTGAATTGCGCTATCGTTGTGTTACCCACGAAATTATATCACATATTTTGATAGTACATAAATTGGTATTTAGACTTCTCACTTTAAACACTACCCAAGCGCAACGTGTGAATGTGTTGAACGCGAGCTACATAGTAGACTTGCGCAAAACATCACTTCCCAATGTAATGTGATATGACATCACTTTTACAGACAGCCTCTCTGTCATAGTAGGTGTAGTGGGGGTGTCAGGTTATTTCCGTTACGGAATTTCTTGATACAGTCGCCGCGCTCAAGGCCCGCGATAGAAGCTATGCAATAGCTTAATACACAATCAATCTAAATCATTATACAATTAATTCACACACACAATAACATAATAATGACATCTGTCAAATGGGACTTCGTAATTGGAATCTACCTATAGGTATACTTAATATTTTAAAGCTGAAGAGTTTGTTTGTTTGAACGCGCTAATCTCAGGAACTACTGGTCCGATTTGAAAAATCATTTCAGTGTTAGATAGCCCATTTATCGAGAAAGGCTATAGGCTATATAACATTACGCTCAGACCAATACAAACGTAGCACTTATAAATATAGGTAATGTTTCAAAATCGGGGTTATTTTTACCTTTTGAAAGCTTCCGCTGCGTGCGCTGCAGAAACGGTTAAAGTTTCGCTAAAATAATGTATGACAGAATTGTTCCCCTTTAAAAGATCTAAAAAAAGTCCGGGACAGCATATGTCTATATATTAAGGTTGGCTCACTATAACGTTTTTTTATGCTAACCAAATTTGTTCTAAAATAAAGCTTTATTTGTGAACTATTCCACGCGGACGAAGTCGCGGGCAAAAGCAAGTAGAGTATAATTAAGTTTCTTCGGCTCCTTGATTTATTTCCTCCGTAACATTTCAAAGAACTGGAAGGCGCGAAGTACTTCATGAACGCGGTCCGCGACGGAGAGTCGGTGCTGATGGGAACCACAGACGAGAACGAGTGCCATCTGTGGGTGATGGCGTTGTACAGAGCGACGGGACAAAGTCACAAACCCACTCCCCCCACCACGTCCGATACGCATCACAAGATAATGGGAGGTAAGTGGTCTGACTTTTAAACTACTACTTCAGGTAGTATGGATGAGCTCTACTGCGGTGGCGGGCGGTGCGATGATAAAACGATATGATATCAATATGACTCTTCGGCTATGATATGATACAATAAGCAAAAACTCCTACAGTAGTTCTTTCATCACCAGACGCAGACAAAGCTCGTAAGCACGGAATGGAGGACTACATCCAGGCGGACCCGTGCCAGTTCGACCACCACCAACTGTTCTGCACGCTGCAGTCGCTGACCTTGAAATATCGACTACAAGACCCTTATTGCTCGCTGGTGCGTAAATCAACCACTTCAACTGAAGCCTAAAGTTCTATTTGTCTATAAACTTTTGCTGGGATTCTGAAAGGATCCTGTAAGGTAGTCTGTATGTGGCCCGTAGGTACGTGTTAATGCTATCTGTTACGCTCGACGTCGCTCTAAGCACATCATTAAGGATCCTGCCGATCCATTAACGGTGCTTTTAGGTACCTCAAGCACCGGTCACCGTACTCGTCGAACCCGTCGCTTGCGACGAAGGGCTCGACGCTCACAGGGCTCAAACCTGACGACGTTGCTAACACTAGCCCTATGAAGAGTAAGTGCTTCGCAGAATCTACCACGGGATCGAAACGCGACCTACTGAGAAGATTCGGCGAGAAACTCAGTGGTTCACTCAAGCGACGGGCTTGACGAGAACGATGACCGGACCTTGGGGTACCTTAGAGCACCTTTCAATGGCGATAATCCAATAACCATTTAACAGCTGAGATGATTTGCTTGGTTCTTTCAATAGTCTAAAGGCAATTACAAATAATTATAATCGATCAGGGTTGGTTCTCCCCCGGCCAAGTGTTCGTCCTGGACGAGTACTGCGCCCGGTACGGAGTGCGAGGCTGCTATCGACACCTCTGCTACCTCTCCGACCTTTTGGACGTGGCGGAGAGCGGGCAGCAGACCGTGGACCCGACCCTCATGCACTACTCCTTCGCGTTCTGCGCCAGCCACGTGCACGGGAACAGGTGACTACAGCACCAGTTAATCACGTCTCAGGGCTAGGTTGTTGGGAGTAGCTTCCGGGCCTTTTTTTTTCGAACGAAGTTCCTTTTGGTACGTTGCCGATGAGGGGTACCCTAACCGGGAAAAAAGTCCGTAACGTAAGATTTTTATTAGTAATGCATACAGTGTACGACTTAACTTTGTAATAACGTACAAAAAATAACATATATTTAACACTAATTTTTCAAGGTCACATTTATATTTGACATATCTATGGGCTCCGGTAATCACTTAACAACAATTTGGCCGTGAGCTCGTCCAATACTCCTAAGCAATAAATAAAATCTTTAACGTGGTTTGTAAATTCCTAAGAAATAATTTGACCAACATTTAGAGGCTTAGGTAAGAATTTCAATGTCTGAGTCCGTTTTAAACCACTATTACCTCGAAGCAGACCTTACAGGCACAACCTGATGGTGCCAATTCTAATTTTGGTTTCGTCATAACAAAGCATCCCTTAAAATCACCGGATTTTGTTTGCAATTTCAATGAACTTCATTTTCTGACGTTTGGGAGTGGAATATAGTAAACTCTATACACCTAAATAAATTTCATTATGAAAAAGTCGCAGAAAGTTTTGCCTTGATAGAAGAGTGCCAAGTTTTCTGAAGTTTTGACGTACAGTAAATGCTCCAAATTCGCGTTTGCTTGAATGAATGAACGAATGAAATTTTACTAAATTTGTTAGAAAAGGTTTGTATTAACTATTGATTTTTTGTTTTAAATGATATCGTTTTCTGATTAATTAGATTCAAAGCGACTCGAATGAATGCCTTAGGCTAGAGCCCTTTGTAGGTACTTTGTTCATTTTTAATCTGTAATAGTTTTAGTAAATATTTTGATACTTTGTATTTGACTCGAGAAAGCATGTCAGCTAGTTATACTAAAGGTATTGCGGTCTTACACGGATAGTCACCACCGTCCTACCTATTTCTGCCGTGAATCATTTTCCAATACGATTCGCGTTGTCATGTCTTCGGCAACCACTCAACAGCTGAGCCGTAAGCCCGTTCAAGCATTTAAATAATAAAAACCTTAATCTTGAGTATTTACCGAAGCTCTAACATATCGCAACGCCACGCCAATATCGACACTAATTTTCGGGCATAAAGTCGAAGTTTCAATTGTATTGTATAAAGGCTGTTCCACCCTTCAAACCGTGACGCATAGCTGCTCTTTCAGTCCACACGTAGTTGGAGTAGCCCCTAGGCTACCCACGATTAGGTAGGACAAAAAAGACATCTTCAATGTTATTGCCAATACGATTGTTTGTTCTAATTTTTTATAGAACATTATCTGGTATATAAATTCAGTACCTACGCGTTTTTCTGAGTCAAATGCAAAACATTAATTAGTAATGACCACGTCGCCCAATTCGCCTCACCTTAACGTGTGATGTTGCTTAGATTTACCCATCCGTTAACAAACCTTGTATTTAAAACCTTTACAAATCAATAACTTTTTTAATATCAATGTATAATATGTATTGTATGTATAATTGTGGCTGCTTCCCTAACTAACACATTCCGGTCTTTTGGAGCCAGCGGCGACCCGATCTTTTCCGGAACAAAAATATTAAATTAAAAGGTTTCACAGATAATTTTTCAACGTACCTTAAACTTATTCATAAAAGTAAACAAAATTAAGTCATTTGGATGGATAACACATAACAAAAATGCGGTATTGAAAAAAATATATATGTCGACTCTTGAAAGGCAAACGTGACTAAGCGACAATGACTGCTTTGTACATAAATGATAGGCAATAACCATATTCGATGCGCAAAAAATATATATTTCTAGGTCTATTAAAATCATTTCAATCCTACAGCTAGATTCGTTAAAATATAATTTTATTTCAGGTATTTCAACTTTAAATTAGTCTACTGTAAGTTCACGCATTGTCGCTTAGTCACGTTTGCCTTTCAAGCGTCGATATGTATTATTGTTTTCAAGTCTTATTGAGCTCGCTGGCTCTTCGACTGGCCCTAACCCGCTTGTGCCCTACTAGAGTAAGCCCTACGGGAGACGTGGTTCACAGTACCGCGACGTTGCCTGGCAGGCCAGACGGCGTTGGCAGCATCACCGTCCAGGAGAAGGAGAAGTTCGCCGAGATCAAGGAGCGGCTGAAGACGTTACTGCAACACCAAATAACTAACTTTAGATACGCATTCCCGTTCGGAAGACCGGAGGGAGCTCTGAAGGTAGAAAATAAATGTATTTATTATTTTATCTATATCTATTCTAATATTATAAAGAGGAAATATTTGTTTCTTTGTTTGTATTGAATAGGTTCCGAAACTACTAAACCGATTGAAAAAAATATATTTCACTGTTTGGAAGCTATTATACTATTCCCGAGTGACATAGGCTTTAATCTTTTTTGAAAAAATTAGGGATCTTTACTAAAACTCCTATAAGGTAACCCAAGGTGTAAAAAATTACCTAAAACATTCTTTACATCGTGTGCTCTGCGAAAACTACCGATGATAGAATAAAATAATGTACTTACTACGACTTTGTAGAACACGTCATTATTATTTAGAAAAAGTGTCGCGACAGCATATGTCTCACCATTATAGTTATGCCGCATTAAGTGTTATTTTATTTAAAAAAATAAAACAACGTCAATATCGTTGAAATTTTTGTTAAATACCTGAACGGAGCCAGAGCGGGCCGCTAGTTATTATTATTACTGGTCCCGCAGTAGTCGAAATTCGACTATAATTAATTGAAATTATAAGTTAGAACATTATTGTGGTTCTATTGTCAAAGACCATTACACTTATTTAACAGATTTCACCAAGACTACACTATAGACAACTAATATTAAAGACAAACAATATTAATCTATTCTCAATTAGACCACATACTTCAGCAATAAACAAATAGTATACATGCGTGTGTGTGTGTCAAATACACGGTAGTGTGTATAATGTTTTTTTTATTGATTTAATGACTTTTTAAAGCATAATTTAAAAAAAATATGATAATATTCTGCACTCCTTCCCTATATTCTTTATAAGTGTGGGAAATTTATTACTCCTTCGTCCGCGCAAATTTCGTAAAAATGGGTACAAAGTTTTTGCTTCACGTATCAATTTAAAGAGATAAGAATTTTCAAGTTGACAGAAACCTGTAATTAAAATTCCGATTCTCCTGATAAAGAAATGAGACCCTATATACGTGTTTGGCAGCCAATGAATCATAGATTTTTTTGCGAATTTGCTATTTATATTTAGATGTTCTTAGGGATTTTTGAATTCTTGTTCGTCATTCCCTCGTTACTGAGGATCGCGACCACACGTATGCAAGTATTCCCATGAAAATCGGTTTGCTACGAGGTGGATCTCCTGTTTGGCGCTGTCTCCAACTGTCTTCTTTATAGTATCCAACCATCTCATTGATCCCCCTTTGGACCGTTTCCTCTCCTAGTGAGCAAGAATGAGAAGCTTTTCCAGACTATACCTTGGGAACCACATGATATTTCCGAAAAAGCCGACCATTCGATTTTGGCAAATGGTGGAGAGCCGCCTTGCAATGTGGCATTTTTGAATAAGAAATCTTGAGTTCTGTTTCATTGCACCAGGCTACGCTGTCGCTCTTGGAGAGAGTGCTGATGAAAGACGTGGTGACACCGGTGGCGCCGGAGGAGGTGCGGACAATGATACAGACGAGCTTGGAGAACGCGGCGCTTCTGAACTACACGCAGCTCAGTCAGAAAGCCAACATCGAAGGTGAATTCGGATCAATACTTAACTACTCTTCTAATGAAGTAATAATTATAAACTTCATTATATAATTATAAAAGAGGAAGACGATTAAAAAGTCAGAAAATTTTGATAATTCATATGGATGTTATAATTGCGAAACATTCCACTCTTTACTTTTTATCAAAAAGCTGTTGTTTCTGTGTGGTGTAAGTATGCCGTCACGAGTTTGTGTCTGTGTTTGTGTATGTGTCACGAGTAACGTTTATTCCACTTAATCAATAATGAAAACTATTTACACGGTTCAATTTCGCCTTTTTTATATACTTTTCAAACACTACAGTTTTTGTAATCACGAAAGATTAAATTGTTATTTGACGATATTTGAATATTGTACGAACTGTGCTCTATTTTCCAGATATATATTTCACACATAAGGAAGTAATAGTATCTTGAGGTCTGGTAGTTATATTTGGGTTTTTATCTTGAGATATCAAGGTTCTGAGACTTATGATGAGACCTAAGACCTGAGTCTTATATAAGCGCTAATCGTATATCGCCGAATTGTAAAAATATATCTATAAGTATACTAATATTATAAAGAGGAAAGATTTGTTTGTTTGTTTGCATTGAATAGGCTCCGGAACTACTTAACCGATTTCAAAAATTGTTTCACTGTTTAGAAGTTAAATTATTCCCGAGTGACATAGGCTATAATCTTTTTTGAAAAAAAATAGGGATCTTTACTAAAACTCCAATAATTTAACCCAAGGTGTAAAAAAATTACCTAAAATATTCTTTACATGGCGTGCCCTGCGAAAACTATTGATGATAGAATAAAATAATGTACTACGACTTTGTAGAACAATTATTATTTACAAAAAGTGTCGAGACAGCATACGTCTAACTATTATAGCTATGCCGCAATAAGTTCTTTTATTTGAAAAAAATAAAACAACGTCAAATATCGCTGAAATTTTTGTTAAAGACCCGAGCGGAGCCGGAGCGGGCCGTTTGTCGTAAAGTAAAACAGTCAATTAGATTAGTCCAGTCCATAGAGTATGGAGGTTTAACGACAAAGGGAAGATCTTCTACCGAATGGGTGATATTGTTCGGTAGATCGAGGTCCGAATGTTGTTTTTCGGAACTTGTATATATTAGGTATAGGCAAGCTTATCTTTAAAATGTCGTAAGCGAGATTCAGGCATCTGTCAAATATTTTAAGTTTTATGATGTCTATCCGCGACACTTCTTCTCTTATTTATCCGTTGTTATGTCCAGTGAAAGTAAATAAATCATTAATTGATAAAAAAAAAGTTTAGCTTCGTGTGAGAGGCCTTTGTCCAACAGTGGACAAAAATACTTGAAAACTAGCTGACCCGGTAGACATCGTAGTGCCTCAATCGATAAATAAAAGACTTTTGAGGGACACATCAAAGGAAAAACAAAATGGTTTGTTTTTATATAATTCCAAGTATTTTCATATTTATTCACCTTTTAAACCTTCTCTCGACTTCCACAAATAATTTAAGACCAAAATCAGCTAAATCGGTCTAGCCGTTCTCGAGTTTTAGCGAGACTAACGAACAGCAATTTATTTTTATATAAATACTTAGATAGGATTATGATAAAGGATGACGATTCGGTGATATTAATTAATCCAAGAGTTTTGTTACAGAAGATCTCAGAGGCGATACCATGGTAACGCCAGCTAAAAAATTAGAAGATCTCATACATCTGGCAGAACTCTGCGTTGACCTACTACAGCAAAACGAAGAACATTACGCGGAGGTTCGTTGCTAATGTGAAGTCCAAATTCAAACATTTGGCGTTTAACAATATTTTTTTCTTGTGCTGTATTTTGTCCTATAATAATTGTTTGTATACCTGATAATTTAATATTCAGTCTTTAATAAAGTGGGATTTAAAAATAAAGCTTTGAAAAATAAAATCTTTTTTTTTATGATGGAAATTCCATTTCATAAAAAAATATGGCAGTAAGAAAGCACAGCTTAAACTCTGAATGTTCATATTATCAACTGTAATTGTTATACTCGGTGTTGTTTCTGTCGTGGTAAAACTTTTTTTTTTGTCGTTATAAAAATTAATAATATAGGAATTGCAATTTATTTTTGTATACTTGAAGTGAGGTCTGCGCGTTATACTATTGAAACATTTAGCGTCGGATTTTTTGGGGTTTTCGTTTTTAATCTAAAGAGTTTTACCAGGATATTGTGATTATTGGTTAGCACCCACCCTACTCTCCTGTCGCTATTAGATTCTGGAACATTCCGGCGTATTCTTTTATTTCGATGTTCAGTTTTATTAATAGTGTTATAGTTTCAGTTCGAACGTCACACAATACGATTTGATGTTGGATGTTTAAATGTAACGTAATTAAACAAATTTTCGTGGTCGTCTTAATTTAGAATTTGATGAGACGTTTTCATATTATTTTTCTCTCGAATTCGAATTTTGTATAGCTCAGTCCGCAATGTGAATCGATCACTGAATAACTTCACTTGGTGACTATGTAATTTTGCGTATTTAATATACGGACGTATGTATCTAAACTGACTTTTTTATATTTCACTTCTATATGTTTATCTTTCCGCAGGTTTATAACACAAAACCGGATTCTAGCGGTCAACAAAATGTAACTACTAATGATTTGATTGATTGCTCGGCTAATCGAATCACTATCACTCGATCTTGATCATAGTTCACTTTGTTTGATCACAAACATCGAGGAGTAGACTATTGATCCAATAGATTCAACATGCTTGCGCAATCGCTTTGATATTTCAATAGATATAAAACTTGATGAGCATTGCATGGATTAAAAGAATATAGAATCGATAGCCTTACATTAAAGACGATAAACTTTTCATTCTAGGCCCAAGAGACCTTAATCGAAATGAAATTGGCAGGAAATTTGATATCAAAATTATTTTCGTGACCACGGCACGTCTGAAATGAAAAGTATTTTCTAAACAGTCTACTCCATTCAGTCACATTCAGAATATATATATATATATTTATTTAAATACTCGTACATAAACATATAAGTATTGCTTCCCAACATCAACATTAGGAGTACACATTGAGCACATACGGAACATTATTTATGCTTTCGTAGAATGCCATTTTTGTTATACATCTAAGCTTGAATCTATCAAAAAAAATTTGTTCTATAATTTAATGAAATTAAAGGAAATGTGTGATTCTTTTTCAAACTGTTTATGGTACTTTGAAACCATGATTAAATGAATAAAATAATTAGCAAATAGCTCGGTTAACTGCTCGGTTAATGATCACACTATTCCTCGTGGATAGTTGTTTTGCACTCGTTTGTTTTAATTCCTATATTAATAACACATTTTTAATTATTGATTACAACTACTTGCTTCTTAGAATGTATCTATTAGTTGTTTTAATTCTAATTTCGATCATACTTATTTCGTGAAACTTTGCATGACACGACACCAATATAGAGTTAGCAAGTACAGCCAAATAGTTAGTTATTTTTGCAATTATATCGTCAATGTATCATAAGCTTCTTTTGAAATTAATTGAGCTAATACTTTAAATTTCCATTAAAATTGTTTTAAAACAACTCCCGATCAATAAAACTACCAAGTGCTTACNTCTAATTTCGATCATACTTATTTCGTGAAACTTTGCATGACACGACACCAATATAGAGTTAGCAAGTACAGCCAAATAGTTAGTTATTTTTGCAATTATATCGTCAATGTATCATAAGCTTCTTTTGAAATTAATTGAGCTAATACTTTAAATTTCCATTAAAATTGTTTTAAAACAACTCCCGATCAATAAAACTACCAAGTGCTTACAGTTAAAAGCTATTTTGAATTCTTTCAGCGCTTTGAGTAATTTAAATAATTTCCACTGAGATTGTATAAAAACCATTCGATAAATTCAATCATGCAAAGTCTCACAAACCCATTATCTACGGAAAGCAAAACGGTCTGTGAAGTTAGGTTTCTTTCTGTTCAGGCATTTGCATGGTTCTCTGAACTTCTGGTGGAACACGCTGAGATCTTCTGGGCTCTGTTCGCCGTGGACATGGACCGCGTTCTGTCCGAGCAGCCACCGGACACATGGGATTCGTTCCCACTCTTCCAAATATTAAACGACTATTTAAGAACAGATACTGATACCGAAGGAACATACCCAATGGGTGAGTTATTTATTTATATTTCCCAATAAAATGCTTTGTTTAAACAATTTCTCCAACCTATAGTTCAAGAAATATATGGACAGCATTTAAAGTTTTTCGTTTGAAACCATGTTAATACTGGTATGTTGTGATTCATAACTGATATTTGGCCCTATTATGACTATATATGAAGGTAAATACTGTCGTTTTCTACCGCGAAGTTTTTATTACAATTGAAATTCCGACTTCGCAGCTTAAGTACCTCAACGTTAGCAGCATTTTTGTCGACAGATAATTTAAAAGGTGGCAGATTCCACGAACATCTCCGAGATACGTTTGCGCCATTGGTTGTACGTTACGTGGACCTGATGGAGAGTTCTATAGCTCAATCACTTCATAAAGGTTTCGAAAAGGAACGATGGGAAATAAAGGGGTATGTACGCCAACTGATAGCGATAAATCCCTCGCGGTTCAGAGTTACTATTGATCCTGTACATTTGGTTTATCACAAATAAGGTTATCGGGTCCAGCCATCTAATGCTTTTTATTTTGCCAATTTTACTAATAATATTGGCATGTTCTCGTGAAAGAATCCTGTTAATACTATATTTGTTTTATTCAGCTACTTGTTACATGCGTAAGTGCTACGGCATAATTGTAAAAGCACAAGGTAGTAAAAATATATATGGACTTTAATCAGTCTAACATTCCGTTTAACCAGTAATGGCTGCGCGACTAGCGAAGAGTTGTTCTGGAAGCTGGACGCGTTGCAGTGCTTCATCAGAGACCTTCACTGGCCAGAGCCGGAGTTCCGTTCACACCTTGAACAGCGGCTCAAACTCATGGCTAGTGACATGATGGAAACTTTAATACAGAGGACCGAGGCTGCTTTTCAGGTATTTTCTGAAGTCTCTTGAAATATGTGATGTTGCAGTGATGCAAACCACGCGCCTTTATTTAAAAAAAAATCAAAAACGAATCGATGCTGATGTAGTAAATATATCTGTAGAAATAATTTCCTCACTAAATCGGATTACTTATTTACTTTCTAATGTACTTTTCGGTCCATTAACAAAATTTTAATACGTGATGATGCAGTTTGTTTTATCCCTCCCCATTGGCTGGTAGCCTAAGGGGCTATTCCAGCTACGCCCGGACGGTGAGCTCACGGACTTAACCTGAATTTGATGACACTAGCCCAAATAGAGTAGTACTTCGCAGTATCGACCGCTAGATCGGAATCGCGACCCACTGACAAGATCCGGCGAGAAACTCAGAGGGCTGTGTCTATAAGTTAGTTCGCTCGTCTAACTCTTCGTCACGCTGCGAGCAAGGTCCCCTCTCAATGTCCTCCCTGCATCACTCCACCCCTGCCTTTTATGGCAGGGAGCTTCTGCCCAGGCAGTGGGGTTCGCCCCGAGGCCCGTTCTGTGCCCCCGTAAGGGGGTACGACGACCCCTCTTACTCTTCGTTATAATCGACGAGTTCGACGAGGACGGTGATCGGTGCTTGAAGAGCCTGAAAGCACCTTAAGTGGATCCGGGGGATCCAACAAGACGTGTTGGGTGACAACTTTTCTGTATTGTCACTGTGTTTCTTCAAGTTATTTTCTATGAAATGTCCGTAAAGCTTCTCTCTGGCATCGTTACTAACGATCGATTGGTTCTAGTCGTGGTTGAAGAAGAGCGTCACTTTCATGTCCACGGACTACATACTGCCGGCCGAGACGTGCGCGATGGTCAACGTTGCGCTGGACGCGAAGAATCAGGCCCTCAAGCTCTGCGCCGTTGAAGGGGTGGATATTGTATGTTATTATTAGAATAGTCTAGACGTATGGCGCCGACTAACGCAAGTCGCTTCCTGCACTAACAACTGGTATCTGCTTTTTCTCAAGTCATGGTTGTGGTGGACTCTGTAAGAGCATAGGGATAGCGAAGTGGGAATACTAAAGCTTCATGAATATGATTGTCGAATTCAGAGAATATAGACGGTTATAATTTTTTTAATTAGCTAAATTTATTTTAAATCGTTGATCTAAAAATTAGTCTTCAAGTCGTTTTCTAATAGTCAATGGTAGGAGATCCGACCTTAAGTCTCTGGTTTCGAGGATCGTGGGAATTGAAAACAAGTCGAGCGCCACGTCATAAGTTACACTAATACAACAACACACACATTAACAGTCAATGTAACACAAACACTTAAACAGTACACGAAAAAATTAACTCAACACTCACTTTCTGGTATTTTACTTAGTATCTTGGGCGTCCTTTCTATTTCGAAGGAATTGATTTTTGGTATGTTTTTATAAGAAAAACTAAGTCACCTTCAAAACTCGTAGCAAAAATAAACGAAAACATTTCACATAACACCATTCCCATAATTAATATGTTTCATGCTTTATGAAGTTGCCAATAGTCATTTGCACACTGAGAACGAATTACAACGCCATCTAGCATACAACACCCGCACTTCACAAAGTAGCTACATTTCACCGAGAGATGGCGTTGCTCGTTTGCTCATGTATTGATTGTTACCCACAGTATCAGTACCACGCCAAAATGGACGGTCAAATCGAGGCCTGTCTAGTGGCGATGGCAACTGGCATGACAACAAGGCTGTCCGCTGTTCTCGAAGCGACCTTAGCTAAGATTGCAAGATTCGATGAGGGAAGGTGAGTTTGTCCATTTACCAGACGTTTTAAAAACATAATTATACTATTATTTGTTTAGAAATTTTAAGCATAATTCTCCAAAGTAATAATAATAGTACCTAATTGCTCCATCTAAACGGACGATTTATCACAGGATTATATCAAAAATCGTATTTTTTTTTACTAAACATTTTCGTGCACGCAATGTATCACCATCGATAATCACCTAATATGGTGTCAGCTTCATGATAAAAAAGCGTTAATCTTTTAATAGTATCTGTCTCATCAATTGCCCTAATCCAGATGGTTCTGGGACAGGGGATTTTGTTGGTTTAATTGAGTCAAACCACAACTACCGCCCCTTAAGATATTTCCATATAAGTCCTTTTGACCCATATGAAAAAAGATTTCTACAATTCGCTCAAAGTAAAATAAGTAAACTCAGCTTTACATTAATAATGGATTACACGATGATTAGTGACGGGTAAAGTGGATGGAAGACGATCCAGAGGTCGTAGCCGGAAAAGATGGAGTGACCAAGTGTCTGAGTGTCTGGACATGAGACTGAGCCACGCACTTCACTGTGCCACAGACCGACATAAGTGGCTAAAAATTACAAAAAAAGGTCACAGGCGGGCGCATCACGATGCTCAGCAATGAGCGATCGACTGAAGGAGGAGGAGGAGGACACGATGAGCGCCACGCCACTTTCGAAGGCAGTTCCGGTCAGGCCACGCGCCCCACTATAGCGCTGGTATTGTAGGGCCAAAGTCTTATCACTGTATTGATAGTGTTATGAGTATTTGTTATTTTTTTTAGCCTTATCGGTTCCATCCTTACAATAGCCAACGTGTCCGGCTCTGGCAAGGACATCGGTCAGGGCTACGTCAACTTCATGAGAAACTCCATGGACCAAATCAGATCAAAGGTCGGTTAAGCTTTTGTATGTGAGTCGTCTATTATCAAAGGTGGCAATCTGTGCATTTGGACAAAAAAAATTTATTGATATGTCAATTCAGATTGAATTGAATATAATCGTCTCCTTCAAAGAATACGGTTCAAAACCTGCATTAAATAAAGGTTAATAGTTAACCTGTTATTTATCTAAGATGTCGTTCCGAAGAGTTTTGTGACTGCCAATGGAATACAAAGTCAATAATTCGTTTTTCTGATTTACCAATCATTGTCCAAAAGTCAGATTGCCGGCTTTGATAATAGTCGAGTCATGTATACCACGAATAGGATTTGACTGATTCGGTGGTGAAATAGTTAGCGGCCCTCATTGTTGCGCCGAAAGTTGTGGGTTCGATTCCCACATCAGGCAAACATTCGTGTGATGAACGGGTTTGTTTAATGCTTGTTTGGGTGCTTATTATTTATATACGTATAATCTCTATATATAAAAATGACTTGCTGAAAAAATATAAAAGAGCTCGAAATTATATAAAAACAAACAATTTTGTTTTTCCTTTGATGTGTCCCCTTTATATGTCTTTTATTTATCGATAAGTATGTTTATAAGTCTCAGGTACCCATAAGACGGAATCTTAAATTGGGGCTGGATGACCGAGCATAATTTGTTCCCAGTTATTTAATAGAATTTCCATAAAAGAAATGGAATTAATGGCATGAATGAGTTGATGAAATTTCTCAAAAACTCCCTAAACGTTTATCAGCAACGGATCCCTAATGTCCTCGACTACTACGACAACATCTGTCCATAAAGACCGCTATGTCTTTTTTGACAAGACCTGCGATGCCCGAGGAAGGTTGAAATCAAAAGATCAGCAGTAAAACTGAGTTGTACTTGTTTTCTAGTGCAAAAATAGTATTTTAAATTCTATGGAGGATATCCAGAATTTAGTGTACCTTTATTACAACCCCAGCTAATAGGAAGAAAAATAAATTGCTCACAATTGTGGCCCTTGGAATATAATTTATCTATCATCTTTAAGTCAAGCTATTTGATAATATAATTTATAATGTGAGTGTAGCGTGTTGTGACGATATTCACAACTTTATCAGGTAACCGACGAGCTCTGGATCCTGCAGCTCTTCGAGCAATGGTACGGAAACCAGGTGACGATAATCAACAATTGGTTGTCAGAACGACCGGCGTTACATCCTCACCAGGTCGCCTGCCTCTCCATCTTGTTAAAGGTAAGATGTTCTTTGATATCGGTTGATGAGCTTATTAAGGAATATAAAGGATTTGCTACACCGTTCTTATTGGCCCTGTCCACAAGTGACTAGATCCTTAGAGAACGGGCAGCAGTAATTTCTGAATATATATAAGCACGTTGTGATATGATAATAAAGTGAAAATTGTATGATATTTATATCTTGTGATATTTAAAAATCTAAATGATTTAAAAAAATTAAATTCCAATCATGGTAACAAAAATAAATAGGGTAAAAAAAACCTTGAAAAAAGATACAGAAAAGTTTTTTTATTTTTTTTTATTGCTTAAGTGGTTGGACGAGTTCACAGCCCACCTCGTGTTATGTGGTTACCGGAGTCCATAGACATCTACAACGTAAATGCCGCCACCCATTTTGAGATATGGATTCTAAGGTCTCAGTATAGTTACAACGGCTGCACCGTCCTTCAAACCGAAACGCATTACTGCTTCACGACAGAAATAAGCAGGGCGGTGGTACCTACCCGTGCGGACTCACAAAACGTCCTACCACTAGTAAGATCTCCCTATGGCACGTTGCTATAGATATACTACTGGAGATATAACCCAAGCAAAGTTGATGTCGTACAGGGCTGGTTCTAAAACTCATGCAAATCCTTATGCAGCATGATAAGAGGACTTGCGTCGACCCCGCAAACTGGGGGATAAGGCCAAGAAGAAACTACAAGCCAACTGTTATATCTATGCTAGCTACTCTGCCTATTCTGCTTGAATTTAGGGACAGCCGTTATGGAATAAAATCGAGACCTCTATACCATGTTTCAAGGTATAGAGGTCTACAATACACATAAAAAATATCGACGCTTGGAAGGCAAACGTGACTAAGCGACAATGCGTGAACTTTACAGTAGACTAATTTAAAGTTGAAATACCTGAAAAAAATCTATTTTAACGAATCTAGCTGTAGGATTGAAATTATTTTAATAGACCTAGAAATATATTTGTTTTGCGCATCGAATATGGTTATTGCCTATCATTTATGTATAAAGCAGTTATTGTCGCTTACTCACGTTTGCCTTTCAAGCGTCGATATATTCTTGAATCTAGTTTTATTTTCCAGAAAATGTACAGCGACTTCGAGCTACAGGGGGTCATTGATGACAAGTTAAATTCTAAGACGTACCAGGGCGTCGCGGCCCGGATGCACACTGAAGAAGCGACGTGCAGCCTGCTGCTGAGTCAGCAAGACGGCGGGTGAGTTCCGTTCCGTGACCCCAATATTTGTAATGTAACTCATACCTAACGTGACCAATGTGCTTAGTAAGAGTTTTTACACGCTTTATATTAGCTTCACTTGTATGTATGTTTGTAACTGACTCCTTTAGACGCGATTTTGACCCACTTTAAACGGCCAGATTTCATTCGAACTTTGTAAATTTATCGAGGACCGATGACAATACACTAATTTGATAAGATTATTCCATTATTATCACCACGCTTTTTTTACAATAAAATATATTTTGCACTATTTTCAATTTAAATTTATTAATTTTTATTTTCTATTTTTAGTCGAATTTTATATAAAGCGTATTTTTTAGTTTTTTTTTAAACTATTATTTATTTTTTAACGTTCTCGATAGCGTAAAAGTTAACCCAATTTTGTATGCAGTTGGAACAGCGCCCCTAGCGGCAAACGTACGCAAACGATCCCATTCCATACAAATATGAGCTAACTTTTACGCTATCGAGACCGTTAAAAGACTCGCATTAAGCACACAGACATGCCGTTTTGAACGGGACTGTCCTTCGATCAATAGTAGTATTATTGATGAAGGGACTGTCCCTTTTTATAATTACGAGTCCCGGTGTCCCCGAAATGAGCTCTGGAACGCAAAATTGTCCCGTTTTCGGCTGAACGCGAGCGCTGTAAGCTTTAACAAAGCTTTGTTCCTCTAATAAAATATAAATATAACTAAACATTTTAAGTATACAATATGTTCTTTAATTCGTAGTTTTCAAGCTAACTTTTCCGAATAATCTATACTAATATATAAATCTACAGTGGTTTTTACGGATGTTCCGTTATAACTACTGAACCATGCAACAAAATTTTGTGCTAACTGTACTTTCAGTGGCGGTGACGATGGTGGTTCCGAAGAAGGCTCAAGAGGTGGAAAGTCGAAACTAGAAGCCCTCACCGAGGAAGCTAAGCTAGGCAACGTTACGGCTGTAGTTGGAAAGGTAAACGAATATCTGTCNTATAAATCTACAGTGGTTTTTACGGATGTTCCGTTATAACTACTGAACCATGCAACAAAATTTTGTGCTAACTGTACTTTCAGTGGCGGTGACGATGGTGGTTCCGAAGAAGGCTCAAGAGGTGGAAAGTCGAAACTAGAAGCCCTCACCGAGGAAGCTAAGCTAGGCAACGTTACGGCTGTAGTTGGAAAGGTAAACGAATATCTGTCCCTCTCTCTCTCTCTCCCTCTCATATACTTCAGTCTCTGTCTCGGTTCTAAAAGCTCTCTATACACTTAAGACTTTTTTTTTCATTTTAAATTATTCTGTACCTTTTCGTTTTCAGGTTGGAAATATGTTTGGTCGCGGCATAGGAGAACTGTCAACGAAACTAGGAGGCGCTTCGTCATGGTTCTAGTATATTACGTTTAGTATTAAAATCATCATGAACATAAAGAAGTCGATAACGTATCGATCGAAAGGATGAGGACAAGCTTTTTGTTGAATTGCATTGTGAAAACACCTTGAATACAATAAAACGATGCAACTAACAAAAAAGCTCAAATATTCTGTGATGATAAAAAGAGTTCGTTTGCAAATCTATGCAAGAATGTCCGCCATTTTGATAGTGTCTAAGTGTCAACATAATGGCGTATTAACCATTAGAAATTAAAAAAATATATAAATATATATATTATTATAAGTGGCCAGTTGCATACTTAGCTTATTAGTGTGATTACTAAAATTTATTAGATACGATATTTATATTTTATTTTATAAAGGAAGCTTTATGTACAGTTAGAATGTCATTTCTTTAACGACAAAAAAAATATTGGACGTGTATGTATATTAAAGTTGTAGTATTTGATAACACTATTGATTAAATTAATGGAAAAAAATGTATTGAAGCGTAAACACGAGGCTACAATAAGGAAACATATCGCTTTGGCTAATAATCTTATGTTCTAAAATTATGTTTAGGATTGTTTCGAGTTAGGTGAGGGCGGACTGCGTGCACGTCGAAAACATATTGATAGAATCCATTTAAATCGTGATTATCACCTCCCAAACAGTTCCTCGTCTATTCAATCTCATAACTGAATTAACTAAACAATTTTCGAACACACGTTCAAATAAAACACTTCTTGTACCGTACGCGTAAATAAAACCTACTGAAAATGTTGCCATGTTGCCAAAAGTGCCTAATTTTGGCAGCAGACTTCTTTGACAGAATTCAATGAGAAGCTGAGTTAAAATTATTTTGTTTTAAAATTACGGCAAAGATCTTGAAATTGTTTTTGGAAATGTCAGTAATACTTTCTAGACTCATTAAATTAAAACTTAGAGTTTCGAACGAACTTTCGTGGACGTTTCTAGGTTCAGATATTTTTCTCTTGGAACTTTTAACCTTTTTAAATAATTATTGACAATCTTCTTAAAAAAACAGGCTTTTGAATTTAAACTTAGAAAAAGAGTACTATTTGAACAGATCTAATTATATTTCGCTACAGCAACGTTTTCAAATTAAACCGCTCTTTTCTAGTGCATTCTATGTAGAGAAAATAAAACTATTTACATTATAATCTTATTGATAGTCGTTATTGATAACAGAATAAATATTCTTCTACGCTAATAACTAATAACTTTCTATTACAGTATATTAGTAGGTTCTACCAACCTAGTACAAAATTGATGATAATAAATGTGGATTGTGCTGATTCGTTGGGAAGCGCTTGTTATGAAATTTAAAAATGATTGTGATTCCTTTATCCTTTTTTTAACCTCCATTTAATTTGCAAATCTATTCTAAAATATATCTTGAAGAATTCGAAATTAACTGTATCAAAATTTTTTGTTTTTAAATAATCATGATTTTTTATTAATCTTAGATTTATTCTTGTCTTACTTGTCACCATCATTTATGGTATTCTATGTTTGTATTAAAATGCGTGAGCAGGGTAGGTCGTCATTAAAAAATAAATAAAAACCACCCTTAAGAAAAAAAAACAATTATTTTAAATTATATTATTGCATTGATATAATTGGTATTGTATTGATGGCTGATGATCTCTAGGCCCTCATGGTGTTAATATGGTTATGTGGTTACAGTGACATGAGCCCAGTAGTCGTAAGACGTATAGAGGTAAGAGCATAGTTCACTAATCGGTCTGTGTCCATACCTTAATGAACCACATCACACAAACCACAGATAATCTTGAACCACTTGATATTCATTTTCACTTTTAAAACTTAAATATTTTATCAAAAATTTTACACTGTAAAATAACAGCTTAACACTATTGTACACAGTAACTTATTTTAATCAATGTTCACAAGACCATGGAGTATTTGTGTAATGCTTAGTGTTTACAAAATAATGGCTCAAAAATAATGATAATTTTTGACAGATGTTATCGTTGCTACTAAATTTCTCACATCAGCTAGTTTTCTTTCTATCTGTATGACAACTTGAGTTTGAAGTTAATTACTACTTTATTTAAAACAATCCAGGATTTAAGAAGAAACTTTTTTTCCGAAATGTTAAAATTGTCAAATTAATTAATTTAATTTGTTGATCAGTACCTAATAATGAACAAATTTAGTTTAGTTTATAGTAATTCTACTATAAAACAAAAACAAATTTAATTAAAAATAAATAAATGTGTGTATGTCCATAAAATGCAAAAAGCATTTAAAAAGTATCGTAGAGGTCGTCAGTTCCAATATTAACGTGCCCGATTTATTATAAAAGCTTAGAAATGCGTGTTTATTAATGTTCTGGAACATTGGTAATGGGTATTGGTATAACGTGCCTCCAATTAAAACATGGTCACCAAATTTTTCTCACTAAAATATTCAAAACCACCATTGCGAGTTATCTGTTTGCTTATAAGCTGTTGAGTACATCGCAAGTGTAAAGGATACAATAAATAATATTTACAATATAATTAAAATACAATGTTTACTGTTGTGTGTGATTTTTATTTATTTACCTACGTTTTGATATTGAAAGAATGCTTTAACTCCTTTTTTCGTTTTTCTTTTTTGGGTCTGGGTCTGAGTTACCTCCAAGGCTTAGGAGATGCCTGGGATACGTGGGAGTCGGTGGTTGAAGATGCTAAAGGCTCGCCCACTAAACAATTCCTCTGCACTCACTGATAAAAAAAAACATAATTGCAAGCTACGGCGCCGTGTGTTCGATCCCGCGATCCTTCACGGCACCGTGTAGGTACTCGACCATATACATACAACTCCATGGCGTAGTATAGTCGCCATTAAACGTGTTAAAAGGCTGTAATTAGTCAGTTGTTAATAATATTGTGAAACAAAATGTGTTACGGATGCGAAGGATCGCGGCTCGCGCGCTTTGATGTCCGATAAAAATCGACACAGCTTGGAAAACCGCGAATGCAGCGAAAACTTTGCATATTTGCAAATGTCGTCCTGCACTTGTAGCCTGTGGGCTTGCATATCGTGCGAATGTGAGTGACGGGTGTAAGGTTATAAACTTACTACTACTAATATTTACTGTTACTCGCAACATTAGAAGGGTAACTTACAGTAAAATAAACAAGGAATATGCTAAATATAAACATGTCAATTTTGTCAAATAATAGTTAACTATTATCTATTCCCCGTTCTATGGGAATTCCCCGGCCCAAGAGGTAATGCTTACTTGAAGTAGAACATAGTGCGGTTCGTTTCACGCAATGAATGGTTAATCTACTTTTTTTTTGTGGTTAATATTAAAAGTAACTACGGTTTTCGCTGTTCACTGTATACTGTATAGCTGGAATAATTTGAAGTCGTCGTGGCCTAAAGGGTAAGACGTCCAGTGCATTCGTGTTGAGCGATGCACCGGCGTTCGATTCCCGCAGGCGGGTACCAATTTTTCTAATGAAATACGTACTTACAAATGTTCACGATTGACTTCCACGGTGGAGGAATAACATAAAAATCAAACCCGCAAAATTATAATTTGCGTAATTACTGGTGGTAGGACCTCTTGTGAGTCCGCACGGGTAGGTATCACCACCCTGCCTATTTCTACCGTGAAGCAGTAATGCGTTTCGGTTTGAAGGGTGGGGTAGCCTTTGTAACTAGGTATACTGAGAGCCTAGAACTTATATCTCAAGATGGGTGGCGCATTTATTTTGTAGATGTCTATGGGCTCCAGTAACCACGGAACACCAGGTGGGCTGTGAGCTCGTCCAAACAGCAAAGCAGTAAATAAATAAAAAATACAGCAAAAGCAAAATTACAGTAAATCTACTGTAATTCCAGTGCACCTGGCATCACTGTGTAGCATTCGGCTACATTCGGCTAATATTAATTTAGAAGTGTTAAATCAGTGTTGCCATTTTAATACTTCGAAACCATAATGGGAAGTTTTTTTCTTTTAGAAGGCAGACCAACACTCGGTGCGACCAACACTCGATGATATCAAAGACAAAGCACAAAATAATATATATGTATGTATAAAATATTGAAAAAAAAAAGTAAAATACAGAGCATGACATTATCTCAAATAATTCCTAAGAGCATTGAATTCTGCGTAGTAGTAGTTCTTCGTAGTTAGTAAGTTAAATTTTATTTTTCGTTGTTATTTGGTAAGTCTTTATGTAAGTAAGTATAAATAATTTTATAACATTTTCGTTTAGTTGCGATAACTCGTTTCAGTAATGGTCAAACGGGAAAATAACCCTATTGACATAAATATAATTTGAATTTCCACTAATAATATATTGAATCAATATATTTAAAAGTTTTACTTGTTTTTAATATATATGTCTAAAATTTTAATTAATTTTTAATTTTAATTTTCCTTTTTAATTTTTTTGTTTAAACTTAATTCTTTTGACAAATTTTAGCAGCACAGGAGATTTTTCTGGGCATTATGATGCGATTAAAATTTCATAAAACAGTGTCTTATTACCACACTGATTAGTAGTTATAATATTAATTTAGAGCATTTAATTAATGAGCCTCTTTCAATGAAACTTCTAATTTTAGGGGATTAAAGTTCAACCTGGGGAAATCGGTAAAATGAGACCTGGCAAACCTACTCCAATTGCTACATTTTCCCAACTTTGACATTAAGTCGTGCAGTTGTGGAAGTTGTGAACGTATGTGTAGTTCTTAAAAACAATATTTATTTTTATGTGGTGATCAGAAATAAACCGTAAGTGTTGAATTAAATCTTATTTAATTTCATTAGTATATAAGTCTGAAATAGTTAAAACATAACATTTAATCTTAATATAGTTATAAAATTCCCAGAAACTCCACTTAAGTAAAGTGGGGCTTATTTTAAAAAAAAAAAAAAAGAAAAAAATCCTTCCCTCTGCCACATGCCATGTGCATTCCGATGTTTTATTACTTGAAGCAGGTCGTGATCATAAAATTCTTTCGATTATATTCAGCATAATTTGGCGCGAAAATCCTAGATCTGTTGAAATTCGTTTACTCGCGTATTTGACGATTTAAAAATAGTCAAAGTAGTTGGCATATTGTAATACTAAGAGTTGTAAGAAAATGTGTCAGTAGGTGATGGTCAGGTACAATGAAAATAAGAATTGTATTACCTTAGCCTAAATACTTTGAACGAGAAAAAATATTTGTTTGATGATGTAACTTTTGCTGAAGTACTAAAGTATAAATTACATTTATATCGATATTAAAGCATAAAATTGTGTTCATTTCACTACAATGAATAAATAATATAATAAAATTCAAATAGGTATATTTAAAATAGTTTATGAAAAATAGAACTAGTTATAATAAAGCATAAGCAATAAAAACTTTGCCTGGATTATCTATTGAATACATTTACTTCTAAATTTTAAACGTACATTTTCGTACTAAAGATAAGGAACAAGTTCTTAAAGAAAACTTCAAAATATTATTCATAAATATGAAGTATCTATTTTCATTAATGAAATTACTCAGGTGCTGACTTCTCACTACCATCTCTACGCTGACGATTTGCAGATTTATAGACATTTTAAAGCTGATGACGTTGCTCTAGCTATTGCTGAAATCAATGGAGATCTTGGTAGAATTAGTGCTTGGGCTAAATCTTTTGGACTTCTTGTGAATCCATCAAAATCACAGGTCATAGTAATTNTTTTTTCCCGCGTACCGCTTCAACAAAGCGCGGCATCTCTTCAGTCTCAGGTGCATTAGACGAGCATTCAAACGATGTCCTGTTTTTCTTCGATATGCCCGAAGCCCTAAGTCTTCATTTAACACCCTTTTCACCGTGGTTCTGCTTAACCCCATCTGAAGGGCCAACAGTTTCTGCTTACGTTTGGGATTTCTTTGAATTCGCTCCTTCACAGCTTTTATCACTGTTGGAGTCCTAACAGACCGAGGGCGACCACTTCTTGACCTGTCATCTACACTAGAGTCTTCATTGTATCGTTTGACGGAACGATAAACGAATCTTTTGGTTATATTCAAAATTTTCAGTATGTTAAAAATTTGAATTGGCGCGTAACCGCAACGATGCAACGCAATAACTGCAACACGGTCTTCTTTAAGCGTCCACTCCATATTTAAAAATGAGTAACATTCTAAAAGTATACATTTTTATTTTCATGAACAATTCGAAATTCGAATTCAATAAACTTTTTTGTGGCCAGCATTCTAAAAGAAAAGTTTTTACTATGTGACAATACTTATGATCTGACTAGGTACTTAATTATTTCTTTTGACAAATTTTAGCAGCACTGGATATTTTTCTTGGCATCATGATGCGATTAAAATTTCATAAAACAGTGCCTTATTACCACACTGATTAGTAGTTATAAAATTAATTTAGAGCATTTAATTAATGGATCTCTTTCAATGAAACTTCTAATTTTAGGGGATTAAAGTTCAACCTGGGGAAATCGGTAAAATGAGATCTGGCAAACCTACTCCAATTGCTACATTTTCCCAACTTTGACATTAAGTCGTGCAGTTGTGGAAGTTGTGAACGTATGTGTAGTTCTTAAAAACAATATTTATTTTTATGTGGTGATCAGAAATAAACCGTAAGTGTTGAATTAAATATTATTTAATTTCATTAGTATATAAGTCTGAAATAGTTAAAACATAACATTTAATCTTAATATAGTTATAAAATTCCCAGAAACTCCACTTAAGTAAGTAAAGTGGGGCTTATTTTAAAAAGAAAAAAAAAGAAAAAATCCTTCCCTCTGCCACATGCCATGTGCATTCCGATGTTTTATTACGTGAAGCAGGTCGTGATCATAAAATTCTTTTGATTATATTCAGCATAATTTGGCGCGAAAATCCTAGATCTGTTGAAATTCGTTTACTCGCGTATTTGACGATTTAAAAATAGTCAAAGTAGTTGGCATATTGTAATACTAAGAGTTGTAAGAAAATGTGTCAGTAGGTGATGGTCAGGTACAATGAAAATAAGAATTGTATTACCTTAGCCTAAATACTTTGAACGAGAAAAAATATTTGTTTGATGATGTAACTTTTGCTGAAGTACTAGATTATTAGTAGCATAAATTACATTTATATCGATATAAAAGCATAAAATTGTGTTAATTTCACTACAATTAATAAATAATATAATAAAATTCAAATAGGTATATTTAAAATAGCACTTCTTATAGTGTGAAAATAGAACTAGTTATAATAAAGCTTATGCAATAAAAGCTTTGCCTGGATTAACTATTGAATACATTTACTTCTAAATTTTAAACGTAAATTTTCGTACTAAAGATAAGGAACAAGTTCTTAAAGAAAACTTGAAAATATTATTAATAAATATGAAGTAATACAATTATTCCTAAATATTGAATATTTTTTTATTTTCTCATCAATAAAACAAATAAGCATTTCCTACCATTAGAAAAAGCAAAATATGAAAATCTTATCTAAAAAAAATACCCATAAAAACTTTTTATTACTGAGAAATTATTATTTTTATAAGTGACAAATTTAGTGTTTTGCATATGTTCAAAATAGATTAGTTATCTCACAATAAAACCGGAGTATGTGTAGTTTTCATGTTTTTTTTAGCATAAATCGTTTACAAAATTCTTAATAGTTTGTGGCAGAAAGATAAAAATTACCTATTAAGGTAATTAAAAAAATACCACCTTCCACTTGCCATATGCAATTCTGTGAGAAAATTTTTGTTGTTTTCTATATATTTTGATGAATTTAACTAAAGTTTTTCCCTTCAGTCTCAGCTTTAATGGATGGTAATATTTTTTACCCTAAATTTACATCTTTTGCATACTCTGTAGACTAGAGTGATGTTAGAATTTTACAGTGATCTGTAATTGATTATTTACTCTAATCCTTATTTCTGCCACAACCTCTCCTATTTGTTCGAGTCTGAAAAATAACATACAGCATTCCAATACTATTTACACATTGACTATCTTGTTATCACCCAACATACATGGTATCTGAAAAAAACTGAACGTAATATAACTAACCAAGACTTATTATTTTAAATATGGGATCTCAGCAATAAGTAATGTTCTTGTTGTTAAAACTAAGATAGATATCAAATAAAATTTACATATCTTACAGCATGGAATGTATATGGAAAATAAATTACAAGGATTATATTATTTTCATGGCAATTTTTTTTGTGCTTTTTATTTATGGATTCAATTAGTTTAACAACTTTCTTTTTTAAGTTTATCAAAATAATTCTACTACAGACTATACCCCTCATTACATATTTAAAGAACATACCTTAAATTTCTTTCAAATCTTGCACCCGTAATTAGTCAATCTTTTAAATTTCTATCTTATCCGAGAGCTACACTTCGGAATGTGTAGTAATGGGAAATTTATCTCCTAATGTTCACTGTCACATTATCTGAACTTAAAATAAATGTTTATTTCTTTTAAGGATAAGTTTAAGTAACTAATTTGTTTTTGTTAAGAGTATGTTATGTTGATTAATGTGTTTCACTTTAAATCATAAATTGATATTAAAATAGTAAAAAATAGTACTTAATATTTTTGTTTACTTAAATTATAGGACAAATCCACAACCAATTGGGCTCGTGATTTTTCATATTTGCGATACACTAATTATATCCGGTTTCAAAGTTATAATGGTTGCTATTAAAATAGAAAAAAAAAACATTTGCTTTTGGAGCCTGTTGGACTTAAGAGCGTAGTTTCCCTAATTTGTCTGTGTCCATGCCCTATCAAATCAATTTTTTTTATTCAACATCAATGAAAGTACATACTTGTCGAACGACAAAAAGAACTATCGCCTAATGTACCTTATTACACAACCACAGATAATCTTGATCAACTTGATATTCATTTTCACTTTTAAAATTTAAATATTTTATAAAAAAAATTCTACACTGTAATATAACAGCATAATGATATTATACACAGTAACTTATTTTAATCAATGCTCACAAGACAATGGGGTATTTGTGTCATGTTTATTGTCTACTTAATAATGGCACAAAAATATTGATAAAATTTGACGAATGCTATCATTGCCACTAAATTGCTTAGATCATCTAGTTTTCCTTCTCTCTGTATACTAACTTATGAGTTTGAAGTTAATTACTACTTTTTTTTAATTTTTTTTTCCTTGTATGCAGACGAGCATACGGCCCACCTGATGGTGAGTGGTTACCGTCGCCCATGGACTTCAGCAATGCCAGGGGCAGAGCCAAGCCGCTGCCCCTGGCATTGCTGTATTCACGTATTAACACTGTGTTGTAATCGTTTCATATCATATCGAAAATGCGTTCTTCTATCCGTTTACCCTAAAAATATCCCGATCCACTAACGGTGCTTTTAGGTACCTCAAGCACCGGTCACCGTTCTCGTCGAACCCGTCGCTTGCGACGAAGGGTTAGTAAATTAACCCTCAGACACAGCCCGCTGAGTTTCTCGCGTTTCCGATCCGGTGGTAGATTCTGCGAAGCACGGCTCTTGCTAGGGTTCGTGTTAGCAACGTCGTCAGGTTTGAGCCCCGTGAACTCACCTACTAGTTAAGGTTCCTCTGAAATAGCCTCTCAAGGCTATTAGCTTAGGTAGGAAAAAACAAAAAACCTAAAAATAAACTATAAATTAGGTTATTTCCAATTATTACTGTTGTAGCCTATCACTTTTAGGTTTTATTGGAAATTCATGTAAAAATGAATCTTTTTTCTTCTTTTCATTTAA